CGATAGGTTATTCAATATTGCCTCATGCGAAACATTGTCGAAAGCTTTATTCAGGTCAAGCCCCAATACAGCTTTGGTGCCCATGCCATCCCCGGGATCGACTACATCATGTTTTAACTGTATCATGACATCCTGTGTGGACAAATTGGCCCTGAAACCTATCATAGTTGGGGGAAAGATGGCCTTGTCCTCTGCATAATTCTGAAGCCTGTTGAGAACCACGTGCTCCATCAATTTGCCCACGCATGATGTCAACGATATGGGGCGCAGGTTTTCCAAGAAGAGTTTCTTGCCTGGCTTCGGAATAAATATAATCCTAGCATGCTTCCATTGTGCTGGGATCTCTCCGGCCACCCAATACTCATTCATCAAGTCAGTGATCGCCCCGACCGATTTGAAATCTAGGTTTCTCAGCATTTTATTAGTAACTCCATCCGGACCTGCGGCAGACGTAGTACGCAGCTGCCCCATGGCAAACTCCACCTCCGCAATTGTGAACTCTTCATCTAGGTCTGAGTTTTCCACCCCCGAGTAGTGTGGTAAGCAACCGTCTACTCCATCAGTTATGTACTGATTCCGCATTTCCTGTATAAACTCTCCAATTGTGCCTTCATATTGATGCATTAACCGAGTCATTTGTCCCCGTTGCGCCGATTTTGTTGCTGCGGATCCAAAAGATGCCTTAAACAGCTGCCATGTCTTTTGCATCCAAACTGTCCATTCATGCGATCACAATCTGGCCCCACTGCTTGGCTTGCAACTCAATTGTATAATTTTCTATTTTACGTTCTAACTTGGCAGTCCTTCTGCGAAGGACGCCATTATGTTTTTGCTTCTTCCACCTTCTCAAGAGACTCGCGTGCGCTTCCCACATGTGTAATAGTCTCGAGTCAGCGGTAAACTCCTCCAGCTCGACTGGCACTTCTACCATGGTATTATTTACATCCTCCTTGAGCGCCTGTACCCATGCATCCAGGTCAATAATTTTCCCGTTTACAGTGTCTGCTCTGTTTTTCCTAAATCTGTCCCAATCTGTAATTCTATGCCCCCTCACTTTGTCTTTATGCTTCGCAGCGCTAAACGTCGTGGAAAGGATATAGTGATCACTTCCTAGGGCTTGCCCGTGTTAATCCACTTTGCATTACTGATGCCTCTAAAGAACGTAAGGTCTGGGGAGGTATCCATGTTTATACTGTTGCCTATCCTCGTATGATCTTGTGGATTGTTTAACAGCGTCCATCGCAGATCCCGGGCAACTTGCCAAAGCCGATTGCCCTTTGGGCTGGCTCGAATATAACCCCACTCCAGGTGAGGCGCATTGAAATCTCCTACCACTATAAGCGGAGCGCAAGCTGCTAACCGTTGAGTTTGAATCAGGAGTTGTGGCAAGCTCAATCCTTTATCTTTTGGAAAACTATACACATTGAGTAAAAACGGACTCTTCTCATACTTTCGTTTAGGCAAAATCTCAAGCAAGACATAGTCTTCCCTGCTGCTATCTACGGAATGCTGAATGGCAGTGATGTTGCGATGGACTAGCACGGCTGTGAAGACGCGTGATACGCCCCTTGAATCAATTCCTGGCGCTGTAAATGCCTTAAATCCAGGTAATTTTACGGAACCACTAGCCTCCTGTAAGGCTATTATGTCTGGTTTACTGTCCAGATTTTGTACGTGCAACTGCAGGTTACCCCGCTTTTGACGAAAGCCCCTGCAGTTCCACTGCCAAACCTCAATTTGCTGGCGAGGCGCCATGATGAGGCACCAGGTAGACTAATGGCACTTGGCCACCCACGGGAGGCAGTCTTGCCTCCAATAGAGTATGAAGCTGCTGAAACATACCCATGACCTGGGATTGGGAATTCCTAAATTCAGTGGAGAGCATGCTGAGACGCTCCTCTATTGTGTCTAATCTGGCTTCGATCTTTTCGACTCGAGCCTCCAACCTATCCTGTCTTTGCCCTTGTTTGCCTACTTTATGCGCAAGTGTTGTTACATCCGACTTAAGACTAATGACCTTAAAAACAGGCTGTGGCATGTCTACTGGTGACGTTTCGGCTAATCGTTTTGCGTTAGCTACCTCATCCCCCGGCAGTGGTCTCTTCACTGTCCCCCGATTCTCCGCTTTCATAGCTGTACTCTCCTGTACGCGAGCAGACGCTTCTTGCGTCGCTTTCAGTAGGCCTTGCACTGCTGGTGCCTGTGTCCCCTGCCGTTGGTCGTTTCTAAGTGCGCGTTCCATCTCTGCAATTCTGTTTTCCATTCTTTTAATCAAGTCTCCCTGTTGCTGAACCAGCGCTGCTAACTCCCTCTCTCGAGCGGTTTCGTTCTGGGAGGCCGTGCTTGACAAGCTCACCTTTTTGTTGGTGTCGCGTGCGCAGCTGTTGGTACTGGATGCTCGTCCAGCATCTTGGCCGCCCCCGCGCCCTGGCAATGGCGGGAAGGAACTCGACCGGTCCCTGCTTTTGCTTCTGCCTTCTTTACCCCTCGGTGACCGCTCCGTGGCCCTCGAGGACCGCTTATCGTTGCCAGCTTCGCTCTCTCTTTCTATGCTCTGCTGCCGGCCTGTCGGTGGCTTGCGAGCCAGGCGAAACTTGCAGTTCCGGCTCCCTGTGTGATGCGCACCATGGCACACGATGCAGTCCGGCGTGCACGTAGGTGGCTCTCCTTGTGGCGGGGCAGGATGGTCCTTCCCGCAACGGTGACATAGGTTGCTCTTCGGACGATAGCAAACGTCCGCTCGATGTCCAACTCGTCTGCAGTTGTAGCAGGTCTCGACTAAATTTCTGTACGGGATCACAGCGTACAGACAGTTCCAGTAAGTAATCTGCCGGGGTATGCGTTTTCCCCCGAACGTAATCTGAATCGCCTTTGACTTTCCCAGAGGTCTCGCATCCAGAATGTCTATGCCTTCATTCTTCTTCAGGAATCCCGCCCGAACTTCTTCCACTGGGCATCCATCATAAGCATTGTAAATCACTCCCCACACGGAGCTCTCCAACGGCGCCACGAACGCCGAAACCGGCAGGTCATGATCACCCAGCTTGAGCGTCTTCACAGTCGCATATGCCCCATCGCGATTTATCCATGGTGTGCTCACCGTCAACGTGTTGTTTGTGCCATTAACCCGCACAATGTCTTCTTTCGCGGCAATCGCACTCGTTAGACGCGCTGCTGCTCTCAGTGCACATCCGAGTTCTCTCGCTGTCACAACACTCAAGTCCGAGTTCTGGGGTCTGTACACAATCTTGAAATCCGTGGCTGGCAACTTGAGAAACGGTCCGCGTTTCTTCCATACCGGCGCTTTCCCCCGCTTGACTTGATGCGCTCCGTGCGTCTTGCGCCCGTCGCTGCCGGCGTGCGTCTCGCAAGGCTTACTCTTGGCGTTGTCGCCATACTGAGTCTTCTTAAATCGGTCCTGTGCCTTCAGCATTGGAGCCCACTCTCCCGCATCAAAATCTTCGGATGTTATAGTCTCCCCTTCGACGTAGTATTCCATCTTCAGCCCAACAAGGCCCACGGTCACCGGGCGCAAGTCAGACGCCGGGCGACGCGGCCCAGGCCAGGCTTGGCCTAGGAGATAGGCCTAGCCTTGCCACCGCGGGGTTGATAGAAAAATCTCGGAAACTCCAAAAACGGGGACAAACTTGCCTAAACGAGTGGTGTCCGTAGGTACAGGGCAACCTCCTGCAGACGAGCCCACTGACAGTAAGTCCAGAAAAAAGCACGTCCGCCGATAGTCGGTCACCGGGCCGGAGCTCATGCGAAACACGTCCGCACAGCGTCTCACTCCAGCCGCCCCTCGCGAAGCTCCTTATGGCGTGGCTTGTGCGTCCCTCGTAGTGCGTCGTGCTCTGCGCAATAAACTCAGTTGGAAGTTAGCGCTCGTGTCTTTTGTGTCCTTCTTGTCTCTGTGTCGTCGTTTTGTTCTCGCGCTATAACTATCGTCACTGTGCCAGGCGCTCTTACAAGGCTCTCGGAAGCTGCGCGCTCATTGGTTTGTGCGTGATGTCGTCGGCAAACATGGCTGCGCCCATGACGACATGGAGGATGACGATGCTGCAGGCAGCTGCCAGGCAAGACTTCGCGCATGCTGTGTTTGCTGAGGCAATCTTGATCGAGAAAAACGCCTTCCGAACATTCAGAGGGACGCGTGGAACTTCAAGTGTGCCGAGAAACGCTGTGAGCGTGCCTCTACCAAAGCTGCACTTCACTGCCGCCGGCAGTGATGGTCCGCTTTCAACGACCGCAGGAGACACCAAGAAGTGGAGCGTCGTACCCAGAAAAGATTAAGAAGACATTGGGATGCTGGTCTCGGTAAGTTCTTTTTTTGCAACAGAGCCATAAAATGCTTGCTTACGACACCGTCAGTGCGCTCAAGTTCGCAAACGAGGCTCGGGCAGGCACAGCTTCGGTTACTACGCTACCCAGCGCGAGCACAGCTATCGCTGCTGTTGCAGAGTGCATTTAGTGTGCATAGACTTCAGTGGAATAAACTAAACCACAACAAAAAGAAAATTAAACTGCAACCAACAGCTTTTAGTGTTTGTCAAAAGCTATGAAATAATAAAAAAAATACGCACGCGTTACTTGAGGCTTCACCGCAGAGCTGCTATGTATTTTGAGGAAGGCATGTGGAAATCTTTACGATCGCGTGCCCAGAGAAAGCATCATGTTGCAAATCACTGCAGTTAGTGTGGAAAAGAGTGCAGTGTGTACATCAAGACTGCAATTCGGAATCGTTAGCGGTTTGAGCTTGCATTCTTTACACGTAAATTAATTGACAAATGTCCTGTGAATGAAGAGAATAACCAGCTGCAGCTTAGTTACGCGTATTGTTAAAAAATGCACCCTCCTTGGCATTCCCTTTTACAGAGAATGCATGTTCCCGTAAGGCAAATGAATTATGATTGTGTGCCGAGTGGACGTGACAGGGAGTGCTACACTAGCTGTAGGGCTGTGAATTATCAGTTTATGAACAGTTTATAATCTGTTTGCAGCAACTTGCTGAGAAATTCTTTGGGCCCTTTGGAACACTGCTAGTTTTGGCTCCATGAAAAAAAGAAGAAAACATCATTACACCTCAGGTTGACAGGTATTGTTTGATTTGTACAGATTATGCTAACATTATTACCATAATTATACTCAAAGGTGTAACTAACGAAATGACACAATGCTATGCTATTGACACATATTTGTTATGCATTGTTTAAAAAAACATACTGAAATTTTGGGGATCTTGCAAAAGTTAGTTAACATTTTTCTTTCAATGCAGACTAACCTTGGCCTATCGTACAAGTTGCTAACAGGTGGTATGTAAAGAGACTGCACATAATACAGTAACACATTCTCTTCTCGTCATCATTTCTAACTTCTTTATTTAATACCTCAGTCCTTCTAGTTGCCTATGCAAGAAATCATTTGTCTTTTGCAACTGCTTAAGCTTGCTTCACTTCCGCAACATTTGTTTTCTAACCTCCCCGGATCATAAAGGGGTACTAACTGCAAAATTTTTTATTTTCTTGCGTGAAATGAAAGGCCCAACCTTCAAGGATATACAAAATGTACTGCAAAGTGCGTGTGCACGCCGCAAAAGTAATAACAGTATCATTTTAAAAGCTACTTTCCATATCTAGAGTGCCCTGACAACGTAACACAATATGAGCTCCTCGACATGTGCTTGTGCGAGAAATTGAGAAACTCGCTCGGCTGCTACGCACTGTGGCTCCATCGTCAACCAACAAGCAGTCATTTTGATAGATTTTGTCACGCCAAGTGGCCGTTTTGGTACCTGATGTCAACACAACTAGCCAGATTGAAGCATAAAGGCCCTAGAATTGCCTGATGTGCCACGGGAAACCCGACTTTAATATAAGAAATAATATTGCTACGGTATGTGCGGGGTAGGTAGAAGAGGAAGACGACCAATGTCTGGTGCCATCTGAGGACTCCATCTTTACCGCGACTGCCGAACTTTATTCTCACCCTGTAAATAAATCCACCTATCCTTTAATTCAACCGTAACAGTTTTCTGGTGGAGGTGCTGGGTAATCAACAAAGCAACAGGATGCTTCAAGCGCCTGATCTACGAAAAAGCCTCCGCCTTGCTGGACTGCCCCCGTTACCACTGGCAGCTGAGATGTCTCATGGCGAAGAAGGAAACCGAATCCCCGCAGCTGCAGACCTTCTACCAGTCCCAGCAGCACTGCTAGTGCCAGGTTCGCGTGCGGCTGGTCCCTGGTTGCGTCAGGATCTGATAGTGCCTCGCACATTCGGTGGCAAATCTGGCGAGGATGTGGACGCCTCGCTCACACACTACAAATGGGTGAGCAAATACTACCAGTGGGACGCGGCGACCCAGCTGACCATTGTAGTATTTTTCTTAAGAGACACAGCACTCGTGTGGTTCGAGAAACACGAAGATGCCCTCACGTCATGGGATCGCTTCGTTTCCGAAATAAAAGCGTGCTTCAGATACTCCGTAGCTAAGAGAAAGCAGGCGGGACAAACGTTACTGCAGAGAGCTCAGATCCCAGGAAAGACGTGCACGACCTATGTCGAGGCAATCTTGAAGCTCTGCAAGATTGTCAACCCTTCTATGTCAGAGGAAGACAAAGTTGGCCACCTGTCGAAAGGCATTACCGAGGAAGTGTATCAGTTCCTCATCAGCAAAGACAGCCTTGCTACGGTAACCGACGTCATAAGTCACTGTCGCACATTCGAGACCCTGAAGATGCGACGTATCACCCCCAAGTTCGATCGCCTACCGAATGTAACCACCGTGGCAAGTGTTGACGAATACACGCCGCTCGATCTCACGTCGACAGTACGCCAGATCGTTCGAGAAGAGCTCACTCGACACGCTCGCCTGACGCTGTACGAAGCTACACCCGCACCGCCTCCCTGTCGCCTTCCCGTGTCAATTTCCGCAGCAGGCATCGATGACTGCAACTACAGGCCACACTCACCACTGAGGTCACAGCGCAATAATTACCCGTTGCTGAGGTACGAAGACTGCTTCAGTTACCCCCCATCAGCCAGCCAACACCTATTACGACCCGAAAGAAGATCTACCTGTACCACCACCACGTCAGCGCAATGCTTTCCAGGAGTACAATGCATACCGCCAAGCCCCTGTGTGCTACTGTTGCGGTATTGCCGGGCATATAGCTCGGTTCTGTCGTCAACAGAGAGCCGACATCCCGATACCATTCCCCATCAGAGTTTCCGCCAGCGGGCACTGGTCACAACAACAGTCATTGGCCCGCCTATTCCAGGAGTACCTCACGGCGGGGAAATCACCGTGGCAGTTCTCCCGCTTCTGACCGTAGTTTGACGCCTCCATCTGGCCTACTGCATCGTTCCTCTTCGCCGGGACGACGCCTGTCATCACCGCCGCCGCCGGGAAACTAGCCATGGAGGTGAGGTCGCACAACAGGATTTGCCTCAGATGCCTCCACGAGTTATAATGTCCAAGAACAAGATACGTGTGGAAATAGATGGCTTTTGTACAAGTGCTTTGGTGGACATTGGCGCTACGATATCAGTTATGAGTCTTTTTTTCAAAAGTCGCATTGGCCGCAAAGTTATGTTTTCTTGGGGCAAATCACAAGGTTTTGTGGTGTTGGTGGGGAAGTACTTCATCCTGTCGGAGGTTGTGCCGTCAATGTCTTATTGGGTGGAAAGGTGTTCCCCAACAGAGTTTCTTGTGCTGCAACGTTGTACCCCCGATGTGATTCTCGGTCTTGACTTTCTCCAAGGAGTTGGCGCTTTCATCGACTGTGGAAGTGGTGAACTTTCCGTCAGCAGTGACATTGTTTCTGCCCTCGTTGATGAGGCGCCGCAGGCCGCGAAGGACGCTCTGATTGTTTCCAATGAGCTGACAGTGCCGCTATGGTCAATGAGGTCAATTGCGGTGTTCGCCCCAGAATTCCACATCTTTTGGCGTCATTGTTGAACCTGCCATCGTTCAAGGTGCTAAGAAAGACATACTCGTCTCTCGTTGTTTGGTATCTGTTGATGAAGGAGCAACTTTTCCGTGGGCACTCAACTATTCGCCAATGCCCGTTGTGCTCCCTCGAGGAATGAAGTTTGGCGTCTTCAATTATTCTACTGAACTTTCTGTAGCGGTCGTTAACAACGATGAAATCGAGAAAGGTACAGTCTCTGGCAAGCACAGTCGCTCTTACGAGTCGCAGATCCTAGGCATGATTAGCGCCACTTTGCGGTCACATGAGCAGCAGACGTTACGCCATCTGTTGAGGCGACATGCTTCTGTGTTTGACTTTTGCCAAGAGGAGAAGCCACTATCTTTACCATGTTCTCGCGCTCACCATAGGATTGACACCAGCACTGCCCATCCGATCCGACAAAAGCCTTACCGAGTGTCGTCATCAGAACGAAACGTTATTGCCGACCAGGTTTAGGAAATTGCAAAGAAGGGTATCATTGTAGTGTCGTCTAGCCCGTGGGCAGCACCGGTCATCTTGGTTAAGAAGAAAGATGGTGCCTGGCGGTTCTGCGTTGATTACAGAAGACTCAACGCCCTGACCAAAAAAGATGTATATCCGCTGCCTAGGATTGACAATGTTATTGACTGCTTACACTCAGCTTCGTACTTTTCTTCAATAAACCTACAATCATGATATTGGCAGATAGCTATATGCACCCTTCAGAAAAGGAGAAGACTGCATTCGTGACGCCTGATGGACTGTACCAATTCAATGTGATGCCGTTTGAGCTTTGCAACGCCCCCGCCACTTTTGAAAGATTTATGGACTCTGTCCTTCGTGGTCTTAAATGGGAGGTGTCCTTATGCTACCTGGATGACGTCGTCATTTTTGGGCGTACCTTCGAAGAGCACAACGTCCGTTTAAGTCTTGTTTTAGACTGTGTCGGAAAGGCTGGCTTGATTTTGAACTCTAAGAAGTGCCGGTTTGGTGAACGACAAGCTTTAGTCCTCGGTCACCTAGTTGACAGAGATGGTGTCAGGCCAGATCCTAGCAAAATCGAAGCAGCCGGCACATTCAAACCACCCCAGACACTGAAGGAACTTCGCAGCTTCTTGGGCCTATGTTCCTACTTTCGCCGCTTTGTGCCCCGATTTGCGGATGTAGCCCACCCACTGACGAGCTTGTTGCGAAAAGACAGCCCATTCGAATGGACACCTGATTGTGATGCCGCATTTTATGAACTAAAACTTCTACTGACATCTGAGCCTATTCTTCGTCATTCCGATCCTTCTGCTCCTACAGAAGTGCACAGTGACGCAAGTGGAATTGGCATCAGAAGTGTGCTTGTTCAGCGCCATGATAATGCAGAGCATGATGTTGCTTATACGAGTCGATCTCTAGGCAACGCTGAAACGAATTATACGGTGACAGAGTAAGAATGTTTCGCGGCTGTATTCGCCATTCAGAAGTTTCGATGTTACCTCTACAGTCGTCCATTCACGATGGTGACAAACCATCATTCATTATGTTGGCTTGTTGCCCTCCGAGACCCTTCTGGCCGTCTTGCTCAATGGGCTTTACGCCTTCAAGAGTTTGACTTCAGCATTTCGTACTGAAGTGGAAGACGTCATTCGGACGCCGATTGCTTTTCTCGCCTACCTATGACCACGACGGAGGACAGTGCAGATACCCTCGACATCTGTTTTGCTGCGGTCTCTCGCACGTTTCCCGACGCCAATATCTTCAAACGAGAACAAATGAATGATTGATCCTTAGACACTTTGTTCGTTGACGCTCGAAATCTCAAAGGCAGTGGTCACTTTCGCATTCGTGATAGACTGCTGTGCAAAACAAATTTCTAAGCAACCGGCACACGTTATTTACTGGTTGTACCTCAAAGTTTTCGATGCGACGTTCTCCGTACTACGCACGATGATCCAACGTCAGGACACCTTGGGTTCATTCGCACCCTGCATTCAGTGCAGCAGCGTTTTTACTGGCCTTGAATGCGAGATTTCACGAAACAATACGTCTCGAGCTGCGAGAACTGCCAGCGTCACAAACTATCTACAAGTGCACCGCACGGCCATCTTCACCCCATAGAA